ACGTACGTGTGTGTGTGTGTGTGTGTGTGTGTGTGTGTGTGTGTGTGTGTCCCATAAGCTTACATACTTCAATATAAAACGTTTACAGACACACACACACACACACACACACACTCAAACATAAATACATTCATCTATAAGTGGGCAAGTGTAGAAACGAGCGGAGAAAATTAATAATTCAAAGGCGACATTCTAGTTCCTTCGTTATTTTGGTGAGGTGGCCTTGTGATGGTGAAGGAGGGAAGGATGGAGAGAGAGGGAGGAAGGAGAGAGAGGGAGGAAGGAGATGGTGTGTTATGGTGAAGGAAGGAAGGAGATGGTGTGTTATGGTGAAGGAGGGAGAGAGGGAGGAAATGGTGTGAAATGGTGAAGAAGGGAGAGAAGGAGGAAGGAAATGGTGTGTTATGGTGAAGAAGGGAGAGGGAGGGGGGAGAGGAAGGAAGGAGATGGTGTGTTATGGTGAAGGAAGAAGGAATGGTGTGTTATGGTGAAGGAGGGAGAGGAGAAATGGTGTGTAATGGTGAAGAAGGAGAGGGAGGGGGAGAGAGGAAGGAAGGAGATGGTGTTATGGTGAAGGAGGGAGAGAGAGAGAGAGAGAAAATGGTGTAATGGTGAAGGAGGGAGAGAAGGAGGAAGGAGATGTTGTGTTACGGTGAAGGAGGGGTGAGAAAAGGAAGGAGATGGTGTGTTAGGGTGAAGGAGGGGGGAGAGAAGGAAGGAGGTGTTGCGTTATGGTGAAGGAGGGAGGGAGGAAGGGGTCTTGCGTTAAATAGTAACCCTTAGGTAGAGATATTAATACTAATTCTCCGTTACGTTCCGTTATTTTTCCCCTAGGATAACAGCGTGATATGTGACCTTCTAGTGACAGGATAGCGTGACCTTTGACCTATAAGTGGCAGGATAGCGTGACCTTTGACCTATAAGTGACAGGATAGCGTACCTGTGACCTAGTGGCAGGATAGCGTGACCTTTGACCTATAAGTAACAGGATAGCGTACCTGTGACCTTCTAGTGACAGGATAGCAGGTAACCAGGAGGGCAGGACCCCATAATTCGTGACAGTTTTGTTATTGTGGTAAGTAGTGTGTGTAGCGGGGTGAAACTATGGACGCGTTTCTTTACGCCATTTGCCTCTGTCTACCCAGCAGTAAGTGGGGACCTGGATGTTAATCGATTTGTGGCTCGTGTTCTGGGGTAATGGTCAGCCAGTGCAGTTGGCGAGTTGCCCGGTCTTCTCGGATTATTCCTAGACACCGAGTTATACAGCTCGTTAACTCAGGGTGTGGTTGTTGAGTTGGCGACAGCTTCTACACCTTAAACAAATTCACGCCTAGGTGGCCCTTGGGCTGGCCATCCTCTTTACACGAGGGACAACCATGATTATGTGTTTGTATGTATGTTTGTATGTATGTTTGTTTGTTTGTTTGTATGTATGTATGTATGTATGTATGTATGTATGTATGTATGTATGTATGTATGTATGTATGTATGATTTTTTTTTTTGTATCTAAGTTAGGCAAGAGCAACCCATCGACCAATCACGTACCAGTTAGATGAAGCGACCAACATATTGAACAAACCCGTTTCATCTGTCGCGATCCAATAACCAGTCACGCACAAGCTTGAGAGACTTGTTGACCAATGACAGACAGGAGGAAGACTTCAGGTGACCCCTGCTCTAATCGTTGTTTTGCGTGTGGACCCAAACACCCTTCTTCACCTCCCAGACAGATGCCCACGCCCACTGTTTGACCTCCTGACCTCAATAGTCTGGCGGTGGTCAACTAGTGTTTACTTCTCTGTGTTGGAAATTGTGTGTAGTATATATATCATTAGCTGGGGGTTACTTGACGTTACCAGAGTTAGTTTTTCGTGAAGTTAATTTAACTACATTTCTACGGCAAATTTTAGTTCTCTGTCTTAAAAAAATAGTTGCCGTGTGTGTGTGTGTGTGTGTGTGTGTGTGTGTGTGTGTGTGTGTGTGTGTGTGTAACTCGTGAGATAACGCAGATGTAACTAGGGTGTTAGCAGGTTGGACCCGGCTCGTCTGTCGCTAGTGTAGAAGTAATGGCGACACACATACACTTAAGAGAATTCATCAAGGAATACAGGTTACATAAACATTGAAGAGGTGCCCGGTACAGTCATTCCCGTGCCGTTACAGTATCATACAGGTGAAGTACAGTAATTCCCAAGGTAGTTATAGTAACATAATAGCTGCATTGACAGATACAGTAAATGCATTTAAAAACATCAAAATAAGTACCGTGTATATGCCGTGCCTAACCTAACCTAACGTGGCCTAACACAGCCTATAGTCAAATAATCAAACCTAACTAACAGGAAAGGTGTCAGCAAATTAGGTGATGTTGTGTCATGACCTCGGATATGACGTCATAATCATTGTTTACATCCGATGGCCCCACTCTACCAAACGCTTCGGTTGTCACGTACTGTACTTAACTTGAAATCCTCTTAGCGCCACTTATTTATTTATTTATTTATTTATTTATTTATTACTTGTTTCAATACTCAAGATTTATTTTTATAATTTGTTATCGTTATCTGGAAATATTATCAGTAAATAAATTATAAAAGTTCGCGGGAAATCACGGAATGGACAGCGGCCTCCGGATATGACGTCACCGTTTGTTTACATCCGTTAACCCCGCCCTCCGAGCCTACTTCCGCCTCCTGTGTTAAGGTCCGTGATAGATAGATAGATAGATAGACAGACAGACAGACAGACAGACAGACAGATAGATAGATAGATAAATTTTGCCAAACTAACCATCATGTATAAAACTCACAGAAAATTCGCGGTATTCTTTTTATTCATCTTAAAATTGACTCGATATCCCCCCCCCCCCTCCATACCTCTCTCTGCACACACGTCATCACACACACACACCTGCCCCACCCAGGTAATTAGACCCCAGAGACCCTCATACTCACCTGTGATTAAACTAGAGCATTGATTACCTATGGCCTAAATTATTCTCTCTCTCTCTCTTCCTTCCCTCACACAAGTCTACTACAGCACTTCACACCCTTTCCCTTCCTTGTCTTCCTCTCACCTCTCCCTCTTACCCCCTCACCTCCCTTCTCCCCTACCCCCTCATCTCTCTCCATCCCTTCTTCCTTTCTCCTTCCGGCCACACGAGCTTACATTACAGTAGGCTAACCCCACAACACAAACACCCCCCCACACATTTTAATCCTTTCCTATCCACCCTCTCTCCTCCTCCACCCCCTTGTCCCTTCTTTCTTTCCCCCTCCCTCCCTCCTTCCCTCACACACTCACACCAGACATCAATAATGTCAATTGATTGCGGTAGACAGATAGACAGATAGATGGACAGACAGACTGCTCTCACTGGCTAGCTGAATTATTAAAACTACGTCGTCACGACCGAAGTGCGGGTATAATTGGATGATGTGCTCTGTAATATGAATGGTGGTAGAGGGCGTAATTGGTAGTTAATTCCATATTAGATGGTGTAATTGGTATAGTTAAGTAAACGCTTAGTGATGTAATTGGTAAGAAATGCCTATTTTATGAGTGGTATACAATGTAATGGGCAGTTTTGTCAGGAGGATGCGTGTAATTGGTAAAAATATCAGCAGTATGTAGTGAAATTGGTTCCTATTAATCACGAACCAAAATTCCAATATAATTTTTGTCTTTTTTCCTCAGATACCAAGAAATAGGGTTACTGTAATAGTGACTGTAATATCAAAACACTCAAGCCTTAAGTATACGTCTAAACAATACCCCCATTTTCTACTTGGTGTGGACCGCCTGGAAAAGTTTGTTGACATAAACCAGATGACTTGAGCCAATGTTTACAAACACAGCTGATTGGCATGGTGCGTCTTCTCCCAGCGCTTGAGGAGAATAGCTCTTGTTATGTTTAGTTCTTTGGTGTACAAGTGTTGATAAATAGTTCCTAGGTTGTACTTTTTGTTACCGCCAATAATAGGATAAACTAGGAGAGAGAGAGAGAGGGGGGGGGGGAGACAGGAGAGAGAGACAAAGGAAGTGTTGACAACGAACTTTGCTGACTAACTCGCTCCCTGTGGGGTTCAGAAGATAGTTTCTAGCCGTCCAGTAAGCTAACAAGTCAGGGAGCTAATAAGTCCTACATTCGACCCAAAACACGAAAGTTTTATATGGTTTAACACCCCACTCTACTCAAATATATATGTAGTTGTTAATAGTGAAGAAACGTACAAGTGATTTAATTATATAACGTGTGTAATTTGTACTCGGCAGGTTTTGATCGAATAAAGAACAATCGAGTCCTACAATCCCACAATAATTCATCGGGCGGTTCAACTTATGTTTACGTCAACACATGGAGAGTACTTTCCCTGTACACTGTGCCTAAATCTGTACTTTTCTACCTGTGATCTATCCCAAAATACGTAAACTTTCTACATGCTCTCTACGCCAAAATCTGTACTTGTACTTTCTAAATAAAACCCAGGAATCTCAAATCTGTAAAATGAAAACGATTCCACCCATTCCGTGGAGCCATGATGAAAGTGACAGTACAACACGTTCTCTAAGACAGGAAAGTGACAGCACAACACGTTCTCTAAGTCGGGAAAGTGACAGCACAGTATATATCAGGTGCCTCAAAGAGAGCTCAGGTTCTCAACTGCCTCAGCCATGTTAATATTGTTATTATTATCCACTCTGTATCTGTGTTTTTCTGGCTAAATAAAATGTTTCAATCAAACACGTTCTCTAAGACAGGAAAGTGACAGCACAACACGTTCTCGAAATCGGGAAAGTGACAGCACAACACGTTCTCGAAATCGGGAAAGTGACAGCACAACACGTTCTCGAAATCGGGAAAGTGACAGCACAACACGTTCTCGAAGTCGGGAAAGTGACAGCACAACACGTTCTCTAAGACAGGAAAGTGACAGTACAACACCTTCTCTAACCATGAAAGTGACAACACAACTAATAAACCTCCCAAACGTTTCAGAAAATGTATGAGACGTCGGAGAACATGAGCAGCGAGTTGATGGGGGTGAACATGACGAGGGAGGAGGAATATGATGGTCCAAACTGGGTACCTCTCGACACCTTCATCGGTCTCGTCCTCGCCTTCTCCTCGTGTCTCTTCATCGGCATCTCGGTCATCCTCAAGAAACTGGCGCTCAGGGATATAGAGGTACTGTGTGTGTGTGTGTGTTCTACAGTGTCTGATGGCTTAACTACCTAACCTATACCTACTACCTACCTACCCTCTGCCCCTACCTACTCATCTACCCGCCTCTTCCTACCACTGTCTATCCCTACCTACCTACCTACCCGCCTCTTCCTACCACTGTCTATCCCTACCTACCCACTGTCAATCCCTCCCTACTTACTCACTGCCCACCCCTTAAGGTAGTAGGCAGCTACCAAACAGGGAGGTACTATCGCCTGGGAAGATATTGGAAGCATAATGTGTTGTCTAATGGTAGACCCTGCTGCCATATGTGACCAAGTCCCAGGTTGCTGATCTGACTTTCTGCCTCACTTACACACAATTGCAGGGTCTCAATTGTTTCTCTTACTTTGACAACACAAATTTTTTACATATATTGTTTCTCACTATAGATTTTTGTTTTGTACTTTTTTAAGTTCTTTATTATTGTTATTACAATATTATTATTGTTATTATTATTTACTTTTTATTATAAATTGTATTTACTGTGAAATATTATTACTTAATTTTTAGATTTTTATTAAACATTCAATTTACTATGAATTATTATTATTATTATTATTTTTTTTTCTATTGGGCACCTCCCTACATCCTTGTGTAAGGTGAAGCGCAGAAGCGTTTACAACGGCACATTTTCGCCCCTCAGGGCCCGATGTGGGTCAGTGACCTGTGCCCCGGTGGGCTAATCCCCGTAAAAAAAAAAAAAAATCTTCCCACTATCCCTCCCTCCCTATCCACTGCATCTGCCTTAGGTGTAATATCTTGCCTTAATATTGAGTTCCAGAAGATAATGACCTTTACAATGTGTCTGTGTGTGATGGGAAGGTGTTCGGGGAGCATCAGCACTCACTTCTTATATATCCTTGTTTTAGTGAGTGAAAGTCAAACCTATGGGAACCACCTTCTTCACACCTCTAATACAATATCTTATCAACGTCACTTAATAACCTCTTGATCTCTCCAGTGTTTAAGAATGTTTGTTGATCACCCAGGTGGGTTAATCTTGTTAAGGCGAGATGTTTACTGTAATAATTCAGGTTACAGCTTCAATAACGTCATATATATTATGTCTTAATATATGTCTACGTGTACTGTACTGCTATCTACACTATTATACATCACTGTGGTGTAGAAAGTGGTGATTATTAGCACTCGTTGATGTAAATATATTAATGAAAGGTGATATCTGCAGACTCGGGGCGGCACACGGGCGGTGGACGGAGGGTATGGCTACCTACGTCTCCCCAAGTGGTGGCTGGGCATCTCTCTCATGGGTCTCGGGGAACTCACTAACTTCGTGGCTTACATCTTCGCCCCGGCCATCCTGGTGACGCCCCTAGGAGTCTTCTCTATAGTGTGGACAGCAACTCTCTCCCCTTACTTCCTCAAGGAGAGACTGGGTATGCTGGGTAAACTAGGGTGTGTGTTGGTGCTGGTGGGGTGTGTAGTAGTGACGCTCTGTGGTCCTAAAGATCGAGAAATTGCTAGCATGGATGAGTTACAGTCACAGCTCCTTCACCCGGGGTTCTTGGTGTACGCCGGGCTGGTGGTGTTCGTCTCGGGTCTCTTCATGGCTTTAGTCCCTCGCTACGGTCACCGCTACGTCATGTTCTACATCACTATCTGTTCCTGCTTTGGTTCACTCTCGGTCATGTTCTGTAAGGGTGTGGGTCTGGCCCTCAAGCAGACCATCGGTGGCATCAACGAGTTCACTAACTGGGCCACCTGGGTGTGTCTGGTGGCACTCATAGTCTGCCTCCTCATAGAGACCATCTACATGCAGCGGGCACTTGACCTCTTCAACAGCTCTGTCTTCATGTCTATCAACTACGTGCTCTTCACTTCACTTGTCATCGTCGCCTCCTCCATCCTCTACACTGAGCTGAGAGAGATAGGCGTCAAGAACATCATCCTCACACTCCTTGGCTTCGTCGTCAACATCGTGGCGCTGTTCCTCTTGCATTTAGACAAGGAAGAAAACACTCCACCACCTACAGACGAGGAGAGGAACGACGTGCAGCCCTCGCCACAGATCGCCAAGGTACCTCCGGCTGGTGTGGAACAAGGCACACCACTCCTGGGTCGTGCCCCAGCCTCCCCCCTGGCCGGCCTCAACCTCCCTCACACAATGTTCCCCACCAAGACCAACTCGTGCATGTCACTCATCAGCCAGACCTCCCTGCACAAACACACAGCCGGCGACAACCACCACACAGCGCCTCACAGTGATGACCACGACAACACCAGCCAGCACAGCAACACAAGCCACGACAGCAGCAGCAACGTCAGCAGGGGTGGCAGTAGCAGTGTAGACGGCACCAGCAGCAGTAGTAGCAGCAGCAGTAGCCACAGTGACAGTTTAAGGAGACGTGAACGCCAGCAGACAGGAGACTCAGCCCGGGGTCACTGTAGGTCCTCGTCCGGCTGTATGTGTGAGGTGCCACTTCTCACTGAGCTTCACACCTCCAACTCCAAGTTAACCAACCAGCCATCAGCCTCTAACACACCCACCTCCAAGGTCTCCTCCTCCAAAAACAACAAAAGCAGGAGTAGAAGCAGAAGCAGCAGCTGTAGTAGCAGTAAATCAGGGGAAGTTAATGTCAGCCTCGAGGGTGATGACAGCTACCAAAGACAACATCACAATCAGGCACTCGTCTGATCCTCACCTCACCAAGTATTACCTCAGTGCCACACATTGTAGGCCATACACTGTATAAAATACCACTCCTAAATTAGTTGCCATTTGGTACAGAAACTGGTTGCCATGGTCGTGATTGATTCAATAGTCCAACAACAAACCCGATTCTCACATTGCACCAAATATATTATTACAAGAACTCAGCAGTTTAATTTGAACACAAAAAACATATGAATGCATTCAAGAGGTCATTTCAGAGGTTCAAAGTCGGCACAATACTGTTTTAGAAACTGTGTGTGAGTGTGTGTGTGTGTGTGTGTGTGTGTGTGTCTCATATAAGTACGTCTGTGGGACTAAAATCGTCAGTACATCGTAATCAGCTGTGAATCCTTTAAGGTGACCCCCTGTAAATAATAACACACCTGGACTACGGAGGGACTGAAACACCTTCCAAACTCAAGTGATTTATGAGTCACCTTTGAGGTTTGTAGTTGACATGACATGTAATTTGGGTTACCATAGAGACCACATAGCCCCAAATATCATGTCATGGGCTCCAATATCATGTCATGGGCTCCAATATCATGTCATGGGCTCCAATATCATGTCATGGGCTCCAATATCAGTGTCATGTCATCTTTGAAACACAGAAATGTCAAACTATTCATAAACAACACCCCAATGATAAAATTATCAGCAGCTATAAAACTCTGTAAGATTATTTTTTTTTTACAGATAAGAAAGTCATTTACTACAACCCTTATTGTCCAAAGTATATAATTAAACAGTGACATTATATACTATAGAGAACAAGTATAGTCTAGTAAATAAGGAAAATAAACTGTTTTTGAGGAATAATAAAGATATAGAATATATACAGTACAGTATATACATTACAGGTGACACTGTAAATTTGGTCAGTACTATAGCCAGTGATATTGTAAGTTATATGAGGAATGTTATATAATGTTTAAAAGCTTAAGCTGATGTGAATATTATTATTTAATATAGTATTCCTTATGTATAGTTAATACTGTATTATTATGTGTATAGCAACAACCATAATATAACTGCTTAATATAGTAGCACTTAGTATATTTAAATTTTAGTTTTTTCTTTTGGTCAATATTTTAACTTTTTGAAGGTTATATCATGTGTTTAATATGAGGTGATCAAAAAGTTTGGTGAATGTTAGAATAATAGCTACCGTTTTATTGAGCATTAAACATGTACAGTACCTGTACTTCATTCACCCCATTCAAAGTACTCCCCTCCCGCACATACACACTTGTTCCCTCTCTCCTGCCACTGCCAGGAACATTGCTCGAAGTCCTCCTTCAGAAGGATTGTCGTCTTGAATTGGATGTCCCTTATAATGTCGTGCATTTCAGTTTGGGGAACAGCCAGAAGTCATAAGGTGCCAAGTCAGGAGAATAAGGTGGATGTGGGATGAGAGGAATGTTTTTCCCTGCCAAAAATTGCTGGATAGAGAGTGCTGTGTTACTGGGCATATTGTCGTGATGGAGGAGCCACCAGCTATTCCACTTCTCACGTCTTTTCTGTCTGACTGCCTCATGCAAACATTTCAAAGCATCTAGATAGAAAGCTGCATTAACGATAGCATCCCTGGGGAGAAATTCTGTATTCGCCATTCTTGCCACGTCAAAAACAGTAATCAGCATGACCTTCACTTGCAATCTCAACTGAAGTGCTTTTTTTAGTCTCGGTGATGACGGTGTCTTCCACTGGAAGCTCTGGGCTTTGGTTTCTGGGTCACAACAGTAAATCCAAGACTCATCGCCCATTATCACCTGGGATAAGAATGTTGGATCTGAAACACACTGATCAAATAAGTTGGAGGAAATGAAGACGTGACTTTCCTTTTGTTCATCTGTGAGGATACGTGGAACAAACTTCGTGCTGACGTGTCTCATGTTCAAATCACCTGTCAGTATGGCCTAAATGAAACCAAACGAAAGACCGGTCTCTTCCGCAATTTCATGAATGGGGTGACGTTGGTCTGCCCGGATGAGAGTGCTGACTTGAGTAACCACTATTCATTCATTCATTCCTTGGTAGTGGTACCATTCACCAAACTTTTTAATCACCTCCGTATTTCTCAAAACTCCAGTTAAACTCAGTCCCTTTGACATTTTGAAAAGGCTTATTATCATGCATATTTCCCCTAAAGCATGATACAGTACTATACTTTTATATGTGCCAGTATAGTTAAGGATATACTGTATAAATGTATTCAGTTAACACAATGCTTTATATATACTGTACATTTACTTTCTTATGGCATCATTTTGTTATATATAATGTCTAAGTGTTGTTATTTTGTAAGAGGAATGTTGTAACTAAATACTGTACTGCTCTATACAAGCATGATACCAAAGTATTCATAGTATATTAATGTTTATTTTGTCATTAATTGTTTCTTTTCCCTGATGTTATTTTCTTTTTGTTAATGCCTCATTTAATTTGTTATTGGTATATTATCTCTCACTATCTATTTACCTATCTTTCTCTTTCAGTCTATCTCACTAAATCACTGATCTAAACAATGGATAACAAGTGTTTCATATCTGTATACCTATCTAACGCCTTCAGGTATTAAAGATTTCCCAAAGAAACATCAGAAACACCTGTTCAAAGAGTCAACATATTATAAGCTTACACTTGAAGATAATACTTGAATCAACAACCTGTAACATTCATCACATAGAAAATCTAACATCCTACTTTATATTTCTCATAACTAGACTTGCAGACTTCCAAGTTATTATGTTTGTAAGAGATTAAATTAAATGCTTCTTTGCCTTATACTTAAATTCATTCCAGCTTTTATGTTTTTTTTTTAGTTTTGTTATTTACTTACCACAGTATGCAAATGTGGCAAACCGAAGTTGTACATATAATATATAACTACTAATTATTTGTATATATTTTTACAGTATATAACAAAGTAGTGCATCTTGTTGTTGTTGTTGATATAATGTATTAGTATGCCTCAACAGCTGATGTATTTAAGCACATGGTCAGTTTCTTCAATAAACAACAACCATAAAAAAATAGGAAATATGTACTGTATACTACACTTCCTCTAACTTTTTAACGAAAAGAAACTAAGATAGAATACAGCCTCGTGTTTTTGGTCGTCTGTGTAAAACTGTAACATAATGATATGATGTTAGTGTAGCTGCTTACAGTATGATAGGTTAGGTTGGATTGGGTTGTGTTAGCGTCATTGTGTAAAAGAGCACAGTACTTTTTGCTGTTTCTGCTGCATCTTTGGGCATTATCATACTAGGATGTTGTTTAGCCTGTGTAGCATTTGGTGACTTGACAGAATGATGGTTGAATTTATATATTATAACCCCTTTATGGATGACGGTTTAAGTCATAACCCTTTGAGGACGAGGGTTTAAGTTACAAGTTATAATGCGATGCAGTTACCAATCACATTACAAAATAATGTAATATTTGCTATTACAGAATCATATATTATGCTGTACTGAATGAAGCGTCACTAGAAGACTTTTTGTTTCAAGTTAACTATTAGATATCAACACAATTTAATATCCACAGAAGTGAAAGAAGTATTGTAGTATTATTACAACGGGTGAATACATTATAATTGAACGTACAGATGAAAACACAAGTCTACTAAAATAATTTGTGGCAGGGCATCAAACGTGACCTGTGTAGATTATATCGAGTCTACTCCTCAGCCATGAACTCTTGTCATAGGTTCAGTTGATGCTCATCTGTATAGTATAGTTCTGTACTCTATATTAGGCACTAGAATTTATAGTTTTTGAGTGTATCTTTGCCGCCATTCTCACGTTTAAAACCAAAGAATGATTCGAACAAGTTGCTTAAGGACTGCACACCCTCGTAATTCACTAATATACTCAAACAGACGCTAAAACACAAGGCTGATTAATAAACCCCATACTCGACTGTTATTGCATATCTAACAGTGCTACCTACACAACAACCAAAAAGCCAAATTTTTTACCACTTTTATATAGTACCAGACATAAAATAATTAAAATGCCTTGGTAAACGTGCATGTGTCGCTGCCTTGATAATTTTACTGGACTAATTGAAGGATATTTACAATGTGATTATCTGAGTTTATTTTCACCCTGACATTTCAACTAAACAGCCTTATCGGTGTGAATATGTACGTATATACGAGTACATGTCCATTTGATTGCCTTATATTAATGCCTTTACACATACTGAAAGGAACTAGTAATATGAGTTGTCGTCGTTTAAGTATTCACTATTTTTTGCGTTTAACCTCGAGGTTGACATGTCACAATACAATATATAACGATATACTTGTATAAGGGGCAGTCTCAAACCATAAACTGAACCCAAAAACTGGTGAGTACAGAAACAGCCTAATAATGAACAACTTATTTCTTGTTACAACTTATTAATATCCCCTAGCGATAAATTATGTAATACTGCAAAACTAAAGTGCCGTACAGAAGTAATACTTCTGTAATAGTGTTCAATAATGAATACCAAAAGGTTCCAACACCTTTTAAATAAACAGTGTACAGAGCTCCATATAATTATTGTTCTGTGTTGCTGTCGTGTATAATCTGCTAAAAGATGAAATATAATCCACACCAGTTTAATCCCTCCTGAACTAACAGTAGTGACATGGATACATAACTGATGACTGAATACGAAGTTTAGAGTAAAAAAAAATATATATATTTTTAAATGTTAAATAATAATGATTTAAGTGATGGTACTGTAAAATATAGAAGCCTCGTTACCAATAGCGTTATATAAATTGCCAAGTATCATATACAGCTTATTATGCAATGCATATAACTAATTTATATACTTAGTCTTTACATACGAGTACGGTATGCATGATTAGACTGATCGTCGAGTTACCTAAGTGTTAACGTTGTCAGTAAATGTGAATAAAAAAAGTTGACACGTTTGTTCGTTTACCTATTGAAAATAGCTTACGGATGAGCTAATTTACTAAGAACAACAGTTTAATAAGACATGTGTACAGTGTATAATATGAATATTTTGCTTGAATGTGTTGACAAAATTTGATGGTACGTAACTGTATTTAAAAGATGATGATGATTAGGTTAGCTTAAATTAATTTATTTTAGATTTAGTGTTTTACGGATTAGGATAGGTAAGGTTGGTTTTATCAGGTAGTGTGAGACTTAAGGTAAATTTGGTTGGTATAAATGTTCCTCGTGGTGGGTGAGTAGCATATAGTATACTGTATGGCCTCAGCTGTCACCATATTCTCATACCAGCGTATTATAAGATAGTCAATGTTAGGAAATTACTACGAATATGACCGATTTCAGCTGCAATGAACAGATCCGACCCCCAACTCATCTGATACAAGTCTAATGTGGAGGGATTCAGATACTTCACAGGTTTCTGAATAGCTGGGTTCATGAAGAGGCAGGTGAGGCGACTCGACTTTCGTTGACGAGTGTACTAACTATCTAGACACCCTCCGCCGTAAGTTCAATGTCGTTATAGTAAAAACTAACTCTAAAATATTAGCACGTTTATGTATTTTCTGTAATATCAACGTAATATTGGACTGTTATCTGAGCAAAATGCGTTGTCATGTTTCTAGTTAAGTGGACATGAGCGTATGACTCGATGTGATGTTCCAATGATTCGGTGGTTTAAAGGGTTCAAGTCTATAAATCAGAATTTTATATTAAGTTAGATGAGTTATAAAGCCAATGAACCTTCGAATCAATGAGCCATTAGTAAGGACATAAATGTAGAAATAACTGTAACGATCTTCGATAGCCTAGTATTGCTGAAATAATTTTGGTGAAAACTTCTATGTGTAGTCACTATATAACCCGATATATAACAAATCATTAGATATATACCAGTTAGACCACTATATATCAGCAGTAGTTTAGTAAAAATAAATAGCGTTCCTGTTTGTTCAGTGCCAAATATTATTACTGGTTTAGACTTAGACTATGATAGCCTACGTTCACTTGGCGTTCTTCAGCGAGAGGTATACTGACGACCAGGGTGTTTATAAAGACCGTGTGAGCTTTTAAACTCTAATATCGTTGTCTTTTCATCTAGTTATGTTGAAAGCTAGAAATGAATGCAATAATGGGCCAAACTTTATTAAACCCGCGCCTTTTATACGTCATTTACAGATTCTTATCATGTGTATACAAAGTTATTAAAGTTTAAAAGTGTAGAACATGATATGGGGAACAATTATGAGAATACTGTATACTACCAAAGTGTTGTAGAGTGATCTAAAAGTCCCTGCGTTAATTAAAAATATTCCGTTATACCTACATTGTCATAAAGTACTTACACTAAATACTGGAAATGGCCACAGTAGATGTTGAAAGTGACTTCCATCTCCAATATTTACTATAAGTAGAACAAAATATATAACAATGTAAGTATAACAAGGAACAACTATAACAGGAGCTAAAGCCTTGTAGAACGTACCATAAATGTGTCTTATGATAACCTGCCCTTAACTCAGCAGCTCTATTAGATTTCCCAGAGTAAATATAGACATCGTGTGCGTAAGCAGAGGACTGGCCGTTAATAAGTTAAAAAGTTCATAGTCGACGCGACATTAGTGATTTTTAGTCCCACAAAATAACTATTAACGTCTCCTGTACACACACACATAAACACACTATTGAGATCTGTACACACTCATCGATACACTATTAACGTCTCCTGTACACACACACATAAACACACTATTAAGATCTGTACACACTCATCGATACACTATTAAGGTCTCCTGTACACACACACACACACACAGCTCAAAAACGGTATCATGTGCCTGTCGACCCCTAACACTCTTGAACGCATTACATTGAATTTTATATATTTCCTCAGTATTGTACACATAACCACCCCAGCTACCATTCTAGGAAATTCAAAGTGAACAGTAAGACTAATATGTGTTACGATGGTACAGTACAAGTTCAGCCTTAAGGCGCCCACACACCTTCAATTATGTTTGTCAAACATGGTGTTTGACCATACAATTTGAGTGTGTCACACACACTGTGGGCGCCTTTAGTTCCTCCGCAGTTTAAAATATACAATGCTACAGAGGTCCACTACAATCTAGCAACAGCGTATGAATTTTCTTTACATATAAATAATTGTTTTAATCTAACTTTCGGTATTATTAATGTCAATTTTGCCGAGTTTACCCACATTTTGACAGTTTACTATAGTTGACAGAACAATTGGTATTTTCACCGTGAAGGAGTGAACTGCCCGCACACTCACACCCACCCAGCTGCCTCAGTACTGTGTTGTCACGTCACCTAACTAATACTTCAGCTAACGTACTTTTCAAAGTAATGTTAATAACGTGCATGTAAATACATCCAATATACCAGTTGTGTTTAAAGTCCTTGGCCGTGGCTGCAGAAGCGAAATAATTATCAAACACAATTGCTATTATACAGTATTGGACAACGGACCTACAGCGTGTGATTGACTTTCGCTAACCAGACAGACACGAGGGAACTATTCTACAAATTTATCAGAAAATGTAAGAAAATATCCCTGATATGTTTTTTTAGATGAGCACACGATTTTATTTACTACTTATTGAAATAAGATATACCTATACAGCCATACTAATAATACCGTGTGGGTGTCACCTGTACTTTTAAATGGAAATATTATGTGCTTAAGTTGTAAGACACACTAAGGTGAGTAATACTCCCTCCCTCGGTCAAGCAAGACGTACAGTATATTTGACTGTTTAAACCCGGCCAAAAATCTGCTTAAATTTTAAAAGTTACTATTTTCAGCTGTAATGTATTTTTTTATTAAAATGAATACTGTATACAGTATATTCCTATTTATCTTAATCACGTAGTTTAAGAGCTAAATTGGTTAAGCTTGATAAGTGCACTGTTAAGAATCTCAGTGTTAACACATGACCATGCAGTCTAAAACAATGTGTACACCAAACAATAAACATACGCCATTGTTTCTTTGAACTGAACGAGGCATTGCATAAGTGACAAGTCTACACTCTTTTTTTTAATGAGAAATCAAGCAATTAAGTTGTTCGGTTTGGAAAACACATATCACTAAATATTCTTGTATTTTAATGAACAAGGTCTCATTTTGTAGATATTTTACCGTAGTACTATGGTGTGCTAATGTAAAAGGGAAAATGTGGACACAAATGCAGCAATAAACACAAATATAAATTGTACTAAGTAAAACATTGTATCATTATCACATGAATGCTACTATTATTTTTTTAAACAACTAACTACTTCAGTAATTATTCCGGAATCACCAGCAAAATTTTTACAAGTGGACTCTCAGCGATTTTAAAGTTTTTAACACATGCAATAGATATACAGGCGGAGTATCTCATCATTCTGGGTAACGTCTGTCGCAAATGAATGATAATGAACCTAATAGGATATGACCTAACCAATCAGACACCGGTAAATGTGCATATTACAGCAAACATGAAATTTGAAAAAAAATGGTTTTCTGGTGGGTTTTGATGCGATTAGTTCAAATCTGGCCTTCGTTTTTGTCTGAAATCACTGGTTTGTGATTTACCTCCCCCCTTCATAATAGTTCTATCGATTGCGTGTTCTGAATTCCTGATACTCTGTACTTGCTAATTTATACCATATAACCAAACTAAACCTTACCTAACAACGCTATGTAATAACCCTAGAGTCGCCTGCTCAACCTTCAGAATATAAATAGCTGTTAAAGAGTATTCCTTACCTTACTCCGGGTCAGAATCGGATACTACAATAAACTTCCAGTAATCAAAATCTCACCCATCACATTATGGCTACACGTTACAACTGATTAAAAATGTCCCGCGTCTTACCACCCACGCTGAATACTGAACGCTAATTGGTTGAGTCAAAAGTTGAGATATTTTATTGGATTTGATTGGCTGCCGCCCCCACGCACATGCGCGGGAAGCGGCGGTCGCACGAACACACAATTTGAACAAAAGCGCAGAGGCAACAGGTTTTATTCTTTTTAAAATTCAATAACTTCATTATTATACATTTACGACGGAAGTGTATATAAGAAATTGATAATAGAAAAAATAGTTGTATCGATTGAGTGAAGTGAATTTCCGGAATTCTTTGGTTGTTGTAATCAGCACAGTTACCAAGAAACCTACCGAACTACCTAGCCGTGGGTATCCGTCCACCGGACCCCCGCCATGTTAAACAGAAAGTACATATTTTGTTATCTGTACAAATGAAAGCAGGTTTGTTGAAGCATGATGGTGTAATTTTACGTTTTGGGTGGACGTGAGACGGAGACCGAGGTCAGTTGTAAACAGTCGACACGCAGATTTTTCGGAGTATCTACAGCAAATAAAAAAAATGCAATATCTCGCTTACATGTAATTTTAAATGGAAATTACATAAGGAAAAGTGATAGACATGAGTGAGATCTAACTATAGCAACTATTCATTTGCAAATATATTTCGAGAGTTCACTTGAAAATAATACCAGTTACTCAATAATTATGATTTTCCCCAAACATTTAATATCACCATTGAATTCAGCATGAAAAACATTACAAATGCCTGTTTACTTGCCTAAAAGGTGCTTAAGGAATAATCACTAATACTATATTATATACTGTATATGCAAATAAATCACTGTACTTGTAGGTGCGCGTGAATATATATATATATAGTTCTAATATTATACACATATAGGTATGGGCCAATAGGTCAGCTGCAGTTTCCTACTGACACTTACATGCTCGTCCCCGTGTGGTGGTGTGGAAAATTAAGAGTCCAACCTGGCCTCTGTGTTACGGCTGAGTTTCACATCATTTTAACTCACAAACTTATCCAGACAGGCAATTTGCTGGATGAAATCGTCTACAGCCCAAAACTTGTGGGAAATACGTTTAATCTTCGCCCATGCCTCCACTTCTAGCCCAGCCACAGTGCACACGGGCAGGAACAGCCGTTTAGTTTTTATACTAATGTACACCTCACCTTTGTTCCTTTTTTTTCTTTTCTGTCACACAAATCCAGCTCTCCACGGTCCTCTGAACTTCCGAGAATATCCACACACCTCTTGCTGATCATCACTAAACGAGGAATTTAGTATTCACTGGTATTAAACTCAGAAGAGGCTGTTAGTCCCCTCTGCAGCGGGATTCAAAGCAAAACATCCTCCATTGTGTGACATCACCCGGAGGCCCTAACTTACTGGCCCTTCTGAGCTCTGGTAAAACAGCATATTCTTTCCATTAATGCTGTTTTATTAGAGAATTCACCAGAAAATAAGGTAAAATGTGTTATTTCAATGGGAAATTATATTAAAAGTTAAAATTTAATCAGTTAAAAATTATTTTATAAATATGTGTTTGTTTATGTTTTAGCAAGCAAGGTGAAGTTGATCGATGTATATTTAATTAATAAAGTTTTGAGGTTCAACATATTTCTTTAATATCTTAGGGTGGAAAACGAAGAGGTCATATAGTTAGGCTGTACCGACTCAAGCAGGCCACGGGTGGTGTATGCGGCATGGGTGGTGTGACTGAGGCATGGGTGGTGAGAATGGGGCATGGGTGGTGAGAATGGGGCATGGGTGGTGAGAATGGGGCATGGATGGTGAGAATGGGGCATGGGTGGTGAGAATGGGGCATGGGTGGTGAGAATGGGGTAAGGGTGGTGAGAATGGGGCAAGGGTGGTGAGAATGGGACATGAATTGTGTGACTGGGGCATGGGTTGTGTGACTGAAGCATGGGTGGTGTAACTAAGGCATGGGTAGTGTAACTGAGGCATGAGTTGTGTAACTGAGGCATGAGTGGTGTAACTGAGGCATGAATGGTGTAACAGAGGCATGGTTGGTGTAACTGAGGCATGGGTGGTGTAACTGAGGCATGGTTGGTGTAACTGAGGCATGGGTGGTGTAACTGAGGCATGGGTGGTGTAACTGAGGCATGGTTGGTGTAACTGAGGCATGGGTGGTGTAACTGAGGCATGGGTGGTGTAACTGAGGCATGGGGGTGGTGTAACTGAGGCATGGGTGGTAACTGAGGCATGAATGGTGTAACAGGCATGGTTGGTGTAACTGAGGCATGGGTGGTGTAACTGAGGCATGGTGTAACTGAGGCATGGGTGGTGTAACTGAGGCATGGGTGATGTAACTGAGGCATGGGTGATGTAACTGAGGCATGGGTGGTGTAACTGAGGCATAGTTGTGTAACTGAGGCATGGTTGGTGTAACTGAGGCATGGGTGGTGTAACTGGGTGGTGTAACTGAGGCATGGGTGGTGTAACTGAGGCATGGGTGGTGTAACTGAGGCATGGGAACTGAGGCATGGGTGATGTAACTGAGGCATGGGTGGTGTAACTGAGGCATAGTTGGTGTAACTGAGGCATGGTTGGTGTAACTGAGGCATGGGTGGTGTAACTGAGGCATGGGTGGTGTAACTGAGGCATGGGTGGTGTAACTGAGGCATGGGTGATGTAACTGAGGCATGGGCGGTGTAGCTGAGGCAGTTTGAAGGATTGTTGCTTTTACGGTGGTTTAAATGTTCCGTTAATTTTTTTTAAGTAATCACTGTCTTGAGTATGGCCTCTACCTGTAATTAGTATGACCTCTACCTGTAATTAGTATGACTTCTACCTATAATTAGTATGGCTTCTACCTATAATTACTATGGCTTCTACCTGTAATTAGTATGACCTCTACCTATAATTAGTATGGCTTCTACCTGTAATTAATATGACCTCTACCTATAATTAATATGGCTTCTACCTATAATTAGTATGGCTTCTACCAATAATTAGTATGGTCTCTACCTGTAATTAATATGGCATCTACCTGTAATTAATATGTCCTCTGCCTGTATCCAGTAAGCCTCTCTCCACCCCTTTCCAATATGGCCCCACTTTCACATCATACCAATAAGAGTCTGCAAGAAAATACAACAGATTGTAACAAGATAAAGTTAGGTAGGTGATGAAACTAAAACACTGACACCTCTACATAGGTCTTTAATAATTCCAATCAACTACAAAAGGCAAATTACTTAAACATTTCTTGTATTGCACATTGTGATAATTTTCTTTACATATTGAAAAATGCTACTAAAATAATTCACATTAAGAAACAAGACAGTTATACACAAACTGTGAATAGGATGACTAGAGCCTCACGGAGAGGTACAAATGTGTCACTTAGCACAAGTCTAGTTCTCATCACAATAACACAAGAGTAAGGTAGCATCATCTTATACAGCATCTACATGATCACAATATACCTTATCTTAATTATATTAGCAGTTCTGTCATTTACTCTAAAATAAGTATTTGAAAGACTACAATGATACATTGAAGTCACCTGTATACTGTTATCAAAGGATACATTGCCTTTAGTATCAAAATATTTATCAATTGGAGGCAGCACTTTCACTACTACTACTATAACCAATTAATATCAGAACCAGCTGACTTGTACCCTGCCAATCACATCACAAGTTTCCTCTTTAAAGTTAGTCCTCAGCTCTTGCCTCCTTCAAGAAGTTACACTGGCAGTTATTTTATATTGTGCAACTCACACGACCAAAACCGCTTTTAATTAATGTCTCTTATTTGACTGGTTTCTCGATAACAATAGATATGTACACAAAACACCGCCAATCTTCAAGTACTGTACACCACATCAGAGGAGACAATTGATTCACCATCATTAACACGACATTATATTATGGGGCCAATCTTATCTGAATAAACCTTAATTTTTAGATTTTCTGACTCTCCACAGTAACTCCATATCAATGCACTTAACAGTAGCTTAATATTATCACAAAAGCATAAATGACCTTCAATCCATTCTATAGAAAATATTTCGATTTGCTTTACTAATTTTAATCAATATAATAAAGCACAGTAATCAATTATACAAATCTGATGCAGCAAATGTAACCGACTGTACTTCTAATTTCATAAATATAGAATAAAAAATAAATTAGTAATTCATATACATATATACAGTATCACTAATATCGGTACTTATGAACAAGGTGGCCCTACACTCATTGCACTCATCTGTTATCCTGACCAGAATAAATCAACGATCACAGAAGTACTGTAAACGATGCATCTTGTATTCACAAACAAATAGCGACGTAATTTCCTACTTCTTCTCAGTGGATCAGTGGATGATATGTCAGTTTGTTTGTTTTGAGCATTGTTAGAGAAGATAAGTGTACACTTTATTTACACGTAAGGCAGACATACTGTTGAAGATGAAGAACCACTAACCACTTACAAAATCTATCTACTGTACTGAGGTCGTTAGTCCTACTTCCCACACTCACAGCAGAGTGACACATTTGGGGTCTTCAAGGAAAACACTTTTGTTATATTAAAAAAATAAAACAAATACCCAGTACATTTCTAAGATTCATCAAAAATCATCTGAAAAATTTGCCATCTAAGAGAAATTTCAACTAGTTTGTGAAGTGTGGCCTTGATGGTTCCAGTACCTTACTTTCATACCTGTCTGGGAAGTGGAGCAATATACGTACTGTATCATATTCTCTTTTGCAAATGATATGAGCAGTGAAAAGTGAAAGAAAAACTAAAGTGTAAGAAAGAAATCTTTTTCAAATTGCTTTGTGAATGTTGGCGAGATGCACCACACACACACACATACGAACACAGCATCAGCAAGGATTCACCAGTGCAGGATGTGGATCACACACTTCTGACATCTTACTTAAAGATAAGATAAAAAATATCGGCAAGTTTTCATCATCAAAATATACAAAATACTTCTTCTGTAAAACAAAAAGTCAATGCTGAAAATCTTGCACAATGTATAATTTCAATTAAATTTGTTTCAATGGCTGATAAAAGAATAAAAATATTAAACAAATTGTGTCAAAATAGGACCAAAAATGTTTTCTGAAAAAATGAATAGGGTGTAATTGAAGAGATAATGATGAAATATTGGTGATCTGAGGTTAGTGATTATTCGTCTTCCATCCATCAACCTGGAATACTGTAATGTCATCATTACTGAGAAGCTTCTTTGGCACATGTTAATGGCAATGTATTTATATACTATGACTCAATATATAACAATCTATGACACTGTATCCCACAAAACTGTACAGCAATAATTATTCTGGAAAAAACCCACAATAGATGATAATATTTCTCTCTTGTTTCCCTAACTGGTTGACACTCCAGAGAACAAACAGTGGTGTAATAAAGGGCATCAACCTTGACAACTTGTGATTTCAACACTTGTTTTTACCAAGAAGAAGTTGTACAGTACCAATGACTGCATCTATATGTGATGAACCTGTGTAAATTCTTATCACTTGTTACCACACACAATGTGGTTCACATGTACAGCAGTGCAGTACAGTTTTGCCCTATGCTGTACCTCAGTTATTGTACACCTACATGTAACTCAGTAGTCATCAAGGGGGAGGACACTCACTCCAAAAAGTATCTTCACAGAGAGGGTCAATGAGTTTCAAAATGAACAACGCGACTCCCGTCGTCTCAGTAGGGTTGTCAAAATCCTTCGCCCATTGTGTCATATTGTCTCACACAAAATTGTAAAGATACTTTTTGGAGTAACTGTACACAGGTAAGCACTGCAGCATGCATTGATGGTTTCACCTAAGATTACTTGCCACCATAGCAACATATCTCTACAGTGAAGCCATATAATGTCACCTTTATTGTCTCTTCATCAAAGTCATATTAATAAAACTTAAACATTATGGATGACTATAAGTTACCAATGTCTTACCTACATGCAGCTGACCATCAATCTGAAGCTAAATATGATACTAAGAATACAAAAGCTTGAAATACTGAACATAAAGTTCTCAGACTGTGAGGTTTCTCCCTATTAAGAAATTTAATATAGCATTAGAAACTAAATATCCGATTGAATTTAACAAATCCCAAACTTTACATAGTGAGAATAAGTATTTCCAAACATTGCCAATAAGATATACTGTACATTATATACGTATAAACCTTCACATTCTCTTTAAAATTAAAAAAAAAATCAATGTGATTCATAGAACAATATATTTCAATATCATGAAATTTTGCAAAGCTGTTAACTACTGCACTAACTAATGGTACATGAGGACAGGGAGCACTGTACTGTATATGATGTATTGCTAGTTCTTGTTGTTGTTGTTTCCTGCAAATCAGGTCTTAATTTTAAGATCTAAAGAAATGAAGTTCATTAGCTTGGTAAATGTTAACTAGTAACTGCATTCCAGACCATGACAAGATATACTTTACACGTTACTTAATACTTATCATCAACTGCACAGTGACCACACACACACATTATAGCAATGAAGCACAAATTTTTGTGTGGCGTAGTATATCTAAGTATACTTGAAAGGCAGAAATTTATAATGATGGACATAATATCTTTATCATATGTCAAGTCTGGAGGTTAATATGATTCATGAGCCAAAGTTCCTTTGGTTATAAAAAAAGCTCTATGTAAAATAGGAATATACTTTACTTATAACAGTGCAAGGCAGAACATGGGAATATTCAAGTTATTTGTGCATTTCTGATTTACGTTGTAAAAAAAAAACTAATATTCACCTAAAATTTTTAGAGTTAAGAAAGTTGGTAATAAACTGGACTCTTGTGCAAGAATATGATATACAATACTGTACTGCAACAATTCAACAAAAAAGTGCCATTTATCTAATTTTCCTATGATAGAAATGTGTAGTACTGTAAAGTTCAATGGAGGAAAAAAAGTTTGTTTAGAACTGCAAAATGTGCATCATTACAAAGAGGTGTGTTGTTTTATCTTGCAATGTTAATAAACTATCTATATGGTCTTTACTCTCAAAGGCTATGTCATTCTAGAACTGGGTTGGTAAAGCAAAAGTAATGAATTCACAAGCAATGTCACAGGTGTGTCATCTCATCCCGATCAGGCGGGGAGTGTCTGGTGGCGCCAAGACAATCAGCGAGCGAAGCAGCGCGTGACCGCCGTCTAGTGTGCTGTGGGTCTCCCGCTAAGCTGGAGTCTGAAGCAGCAGGATGGAGGGAACGTGGTGCCAATAGGCTTTCTGTGCTCTTAGGCTTGGAGAAGAGGCAGGTGTGAAGAGGTGCTGGGTCAAGGTTTAAGCAATCACAGGAGAAGCAGGAGCCATCCAGAGGTGATACAAGATTTTCTGAGGAGCGTGGTGCCGGTCGCACTCCTCCCCCGCCCCCCACCATGTTTTCTTTGTCATCTTCCCTGAGTCGGTGAGTACTGTACGAACGCATCTTGTCACCACCCCTGCCAGCTCCACGAGGTGGAATCGTGTCAATAAATCCGTATCCAAAACCATATCCACCAAATCCTCGTGTGGAAAGTAAATTGTCCCAAGAGCGGGGTTTGCACTGCTGCCATTGCTGCTGAGCAACACTCTGTGCCGAGCCCGTAGGAGTGTGGGCAATCTGTGCCGGAGAACTGCACTCTGACGATACTTTTGGTCGCCGGACAGCACCGGGGGAACAGTTGAGCTGCAGATAGTGTTGTTGCTGATGGTGCTGGCGATGGTGGTGAAGAGGTGAAGGGGCATGAGACTGAGAGTTGTTGGAGGACATAGTACCCCAATGATCCTGTGGAGGCCTTACGGGGTTGTGGGCACTACAAGGGCTGGCTGGGGGTATGCGGTACTGGAGGGGTGGGGGCAGCACCCTAGAGGAGGTGGGCAGGGGGGATGAGGTGGTGCTGGAGGCAGGAAGCAGTTGCCGGTGGTGGTGATGGTGGTGCTGGTGGTGGTGATGGTGATGGTACAGGTGCTGGGGCTGACGGCCGGACACCGGGTGCTGAGGGATGCGGAAACCCTGGGCCCGCCATGCTGAGGAAGAAACCACCATACCAGGCAATGAAGCGTCAATCTGAGTTGGAGGATGAGGTGGTAAGGTCGCACTGAGATCAACTGCTGCCATAATGACCAGTCCTGCTATCACATCACCACAGTAATAACACTTCAACCATTTACTCATGACAAGGAAAACAGTGCAGGTGCAGGTGTGAGACAAGCAATGGTATGATGGCATCAACCGCTCTCAGTTCAAGCTTTTAACGTGTTCAGGGAAACTTCTTCACGGGATTGATTACACATCACTTCTCGGTGACCCACAAATATTATTATGCGTGATAAATATGAGTGATAGTTCCTGAACACGTAAAAAATGCATATTTCATGTATTATAGTAAGTATTTCCAAGCTTAGGGAGTGCACTATTTTATTTACAGTGAAAGGTACAAATATATTGATGATAGGCATTATGAATATCAAAAACTTTAAATCAGAGACAATAATGGAATGGCTTAAATCATTGTGCTTCATGCCAGAGCTACAGTATAAGGTCAACTATTATAATCCATATGGTAAAACATGCTTGAAACATTAACATGCCATACATAGGTTAAGTAAATCATATAAACTAACAGGAACTCTTATCTTTTTAACAAACTATTGTTGCATTGGACTGTGCTAGGAATAAGGGAACATTTGAAAACATATAGAAACATTAAACCCTATATAGAATAAAGCTGAAATAGAAATGCTGAAATAAAAACACCAATAAATCCGCTTAAACAAGGTTGGTACGATATGCAGATAAGGAGTCAGCCAGAGCCCCAACCGTTCGGCTCACATCCCCAGCCTGAAACCATTCACCATTTGAGGAGCCCTGGGGGGAGGACGCAACCCTAGAGGAGATGCCCGGCCAGGAAGGTGTATGTGGCTTGGCGGGTGGGGTAAAGGCATTCCTGTCCCCAACTACTGGTGCATCATCATTGGTTCTAGAGCCTTGTGACTTTCTCCTCCGTGAGGCTTGACTCCTCCGGGGTCGAGGAGCAGCATCAAGATCGACAGATGCTTCGTCATCAGATAAAACACCGTGGTCCTCGCGAGGCACCAAGCACTGTCGAGGCAGAGGTGTTCCGTACACCGAGGATTCACTGGACACTTCTGAATATAAACTGTCATAATAGGTGGGAGTACGTCCATCATTAGGACGATCCTCTAGTGAGTTATCTGACGACCAGCGCGCTTCCAAAGAGTCTGATCTAACTCTGGGTTCTTGAGGAGGAGGAGCAAAACGATATACGTCAGCAGCAGCGTTTGGCACATCACGTGCTGGAGTAACTAGTGAATCAGTACACAGAGAGCGTGAGCGTGCCGACACCACTGTCCTGCCTGAGTGATCGGTTGTTGAACTTAAGCGATCACAGCTCCCTGTCCACGAATATAAGGAATTTGGGCGGTTCTTGCGCCCTTGCTGCTGCTGCTGGTCGTGCTTGTTAGGTTGATGATGCCCTGAATCCTGTTGCCATGATTTTTGCTTTGTTAAGGTCTTCACTGATCCTTTTCGCTGTGATTGCCAGGATCTTGTTTCCTCGTTCATCCTACTTGAGGTCATACCCATTCTTCCCTCCATGTCCCTCCCACCATCCTTGTGTCCTTCTCTTCTTGCTGTACCTGTACCCTTCCACTTATTCTTTTCCGCAAGGTTACTGTTCCATTCTGGCTTTCTGCTGAACATTTCATTGGTAGGTTGGTTCTGCCTGTCCTCTCTCACTGACCTTCTCCACGCAGCAGGACTACCACTCACGCCAGAGTTCTCTTTGCCTCCCACTTCCTCTTTGACAAATCCACCAACGATACGGCTCATTATAAAAGAGTTTGATCCTTCTACCACGTCCTGATCAAGGCTGCCCGTCTTCAAATGGATCCTGTTAGTCGGCCGTGGTTTAATACTATGGGTACAGGACCCTTTTATGCATTCTCTCGTGATAAAGGCATTCGTCAAGGACTGAGACGATAACCGCAGGGACTCTGAGCGACTGATTGCTGGGGTTTTTTTCTGTGGTCCTTCTCTTATTTTATCAAAAGAACTGCCAGTATCACAGAGAGAATTACACGATCTCTGTCTGTGAGTTGACCGGCTAGAGTCACGAGAAGAGCTCGATGCAAGTGACTTTTTAGGTCTCGAGAGGCTCCAGTGTCTTTCCCCAGAGTTTTGTCTGGGTCTCTGAGGTGCATGAAATGAGCCCCCACGCACAATTAGGGGTGCACTCTCAGTGGGTGAAGTTGTGAGTCTCCCAGATGTGTACGGTAAAGATAAAAACTGATGTAAATGAAGCTCAGATGGCCGGACATGGGATGACACTTCAGAAATAGATTCCCTATTATCTTCTAGTCCATACTCTATCTTCTGACCATCATCAGACCCAGAGATGCTGGTCAGTTTATCTTCATCTAGAGAGTTGGATTTTATACGATGAGATGAACTTGGTTCTCTCTTCTTTTTACCCTTCGAGTTTCTACGGTGAGGTAAGCTTGAGGTGCAATAATTAAACACAGATGAATGCTTAGGACCATAAGAATGTTTTGGACTGTGGTCATACGCCTCTAAACCACCGACGCTCGACTTGTCAAATGGAGATTTAGGTGGTTCTTCTTCTTTCTTAGTTTCGTGAGTAACATTAGTTTTAAACTCCTTGATAACAGACTCGTAGGCAAAGCAGTGATCACTTGGCATGCATGATATAGAATACGCTTTGCTCATCTTTAGAGGAGGTTTAACTTTCCTTACTCCTTCCTCAGCTGTTGGAGAATTTTTCTTTGTGTGGTCTGAACTTCTTCCACTTTTGCTGTTCTGTCTACTTAATTGTTTGAAACTATCTTTCCTACTAAAGCTTCCTCTTGAAGGGCCAATGTTTTTAGATTTAGTCAAGATGCTCCCCTCTTGAGACAACGTTTTAGACCCATAAGGGGAGTCTAACACAGCCTGATTTGTTCTGAACTTACTTATCTCCCCCTCATGCCAGCTCTCCCTATCTCGAGGATATCTCCAGGTCTCCGCGCTGAGAGCTCGACGGTGACTGTGAAAACTTTTATTCTCTTTATCTTCCACCATTTTCCTACCACCCCCACCCTCTTTATTCCCCAACACCTGCTGTCTCCACTCTGGCCCATACAAAGGAGAGTGACTTGCACCACACATTGGGTCACCACAGCCACTAGGAGGAGGCACATACATGGATCCTCCTGTGCATGGTAAACTATGGTAATTACTAGAAGTATTTGCATAAACTCTATCAGTGCCCCATGGCGGTCTACAATTAGCAACTGGACTATATACAAACTGTGGATGAACACTAACATCAGAGTAATTACTTATGTTCCAGCCCATGAAGCTGTATATACTACTCTGACTCTCTTTATAATGTGCACTATCTGCAGCAGTGGCTACTGTGCAAGATGGTGAAGATACTTTGTCTACATTCCTAATTTCACTTTGCGTCTTAACAACAGAAGTTTGACTTTTGTTGTCTTGTGCTGGTGGAGTGGACCTGCCGCTCATTCTTCGGCAATATCCCCTCCCAGTGTCTTCTGAAATGGAATCATTCTCCTTGTAGGTGAGGCTGGCAGTGTGATGTGTGTGGCCATGCAGGGCGACTCCTGTTGAGTGCTTGCAACTGTGTGGGACACCTGGGTGGTGGCGGTGAGTTGCAGCGGAGTGAGGGTGGTGGGCAGCAGCAGTCTGGGTATGGAGGGTGGAGGTGGAAGTGGAGGTGGAGAGTGAAACTGGGATGAGGCAGGTGAGGTCCCGGGGGGGCGGGAGAAGCCGGCGCTGTGCCCTCAGCCAATCCATCAAGCGGGCGTGAGCGATGTTGAAGGCGTGACGCACTGGGGAGGTTGCCAACTTACCAGCCAGTAGAGACTTCTCCTGGTGACATAAGCGCTCCAGGTCGGCCATCTTTTCCTGCAGGAGCCGCTGCAGCTGGATGTACCGCATGTGTAGTTCCACCTGGTTATATGATCACATCAATAACATATTTAGCCATCAGAACACTACCAAAGTTATCTATACCTGTACTGCATTACTGTATCATCTTATACAGGAAGTACCTGGATGACCTCACTTGTACCTGTACAGATCCCCCAAATTGTCTCTCTATTCACCTACAGCATCTACTGTATTTCCTTCACTATTCCAACTTTTGACTGAAGTTTATCACTGGGTACAGAAGCCTTAAAGAAGGAAGGAAAAGAATATATTATCAGGGAGATTGATGCAAGACAAGTGTAGGAAGTGAAAGGTAAAGGTCAAAACACTAGTGGCTACAACACACACACACACATTTCCTCACACCTTAACTGGCACAAAATAAGTCTTTTACATTCATATTAATTAAATAAAAACTCCTTTTAAAAATTATTCCTTGTATTTACTAACTCGTCAGATTCATGAATTAACAATACATGACCCAAAATCACTCTATTTCCAGTATATTTTAACCTAATCCAGAGTCACGAGAAATTAGTCGTGGTTAATAATGTAGAAAAAAATGTATCAAAATCAAAGTTACTAATGAGGAAAAGTTCTTTATTTAAAAAAATGATACAAATAAAACAGACTTGATACATAACGCTGTTCACCAAGTTGATTTGATCAGTGTAGAAAGAGTTCTGGCACCACACCTTTAATTAAACTGACTTTAAAACTCTCCTAAACTACCCATCCCTTTACACTGACAAAGCTGAAATACAAACTGTGTACCTAATTAATTTTTATTTTAACAGTATTAATATCCAACAAATAAAGAAGTTCTACTATGCTGTGTCTCTGCCCCAACAAGTGTCTATAGGTACTTTACAATTACCCTTTTTGTTATCTAGTAAAAAAAAAAATGGCATAGGTTTTTAAGATACTGTATCGATAAATGCATCCACTCATTAGTCACCTATGAAATATTTCTTCCCAACACAGTTTTGACATAATATGGAAAACAATATCATGTACTGGCCATAAGATTAATTATTATTTACCATATTACAATAATAGTAAAGGTAATAATAATAATAATAATAATAATAATAATAATAATAATAATAATAATAATAATAATATGGATTTTTTAATTCTACTTTAATCATATTCAATAAAATAGCACAGGATGACTCAGACCTGCTACATACAACACAGAATTATATTACCAATGAAAACACTATAAATGGAACATATCATTTAACCAAAGGGGGTGAGGGGGAGTTAAGTGTACAGTACCAATTTGGGTTGGATACAATGTGGTCCAAAAAGTACGCACCTGTAAAAATCATTAATGTAGGTGTTCTTTGTTATACCTACATTGTTTTAGGCCTTGTTATATTTACAGTTAATGGTATCCACTTCCAACATCTGCTGTGACCATTTACAATATTTACTGTAAGGACATGGTAAGTAATTATATCTTTAATTCTTTCAGGTGTTTAAGGGCTGTTCTAACAATTAATACTGTACAGGTAACCCCACAAACAGTTTCTCACATGACCACATATGAAACACCTAAATCACAACTATCAGAAGCCCTTCATCAAATCCCATAAGTTTTCTTTTTGGCTTTCATTTTTGTACAGCATCGAAAATACAAATTCAATGAAATACAGTATATCATACAATGTAAACTGCACTGTAGTGATACTAAATTTCTATGTATGAGATACAGTATACATTTGAAATCATTAACCCCTTCACTACAGGAAGCCATTTTTAATATTTTATTTGGCTAATGCGAGATGACTTTTATTCAGCCCAGAGGGGAGCTCGTATACAAGTGGTTAATCAGTAGTACCACACAATGTTTACTCTGATACACTAAATTCATAAAGTTTGCACAGTATTTGGTTCCCATCATCTCTCTTGCTCATAAACTGTTATGCGGTGATGCACTAAAGTAATTTAATTCACCATTTGATAGTTAAAAAATATCAGTATTGTATATACAGTACAGTAGAGACAAACAAATAAATAATGGATTGGCAAAACTGCATATTTTTCTTTAATTTTTTTTACTGTAATTTAGTACTGTACTTCTATAATAACAAAATCACAATAAAAAAATACAAGAGAAAAGTAGTCAGTCGCAAAATGAATTCATTTATTCCGAGTCATTGCAAAAAGTAATTATCAAAACACTCATCCTTGTAACTGGAGAGCAAAATGTTCAACTACCCCATACTGTACTGTCCTCAGTTAAAGAAATATTAATCTAAAGAAAACAGAAATGTTCAGTCATAAACTTAATACAGTACAGTACTTAATTTTTTGATGAAGTTAGGACCATAAATTTTAACAACTGGCATAATTACCGTAACTGACACTGCCCGAGAATCATGACCAATTAGTGTCAGGTGCTGGTGTTGATATACAAAATACTGTATATTTATTATGTATTTAACATTTTCTTTTATACTGTAATGAGAACCAATTTTATAGTCTTTAATATGTGATGTTATAAAAACTAATAGGTAACAAGATAATATTATGAATGATTTTATTCAGTGTAAATAAATCAGAAGATACTTCCAACATTAGTCTCTACAACACACACTGGGTCATACCACAACACAGGTAAAGGTAGACAGTACCATCTAATGACATGTTGAAAATATCTTCCTAAAAGTTAACTCTTCCCTACAACACAACACATTACAGTACCTTATGAACACAGTCCTCGAACAGCACCACCATCCGCATCCTGTCGCCGCAGCCCTGGATGAAGTTCACTAGGGCCTTGTGGTCGGCCTTTTCCATGTCGTGGCCGTTGATAGAGAGGATAACATCCCCTGTGAAGAAGTAACCCATTATGGTATGAACAGACACTACAATAAACACAAACTGGTGAAATGAGGCGCTCCGCATTACAAGGGGGTGAAGCGCCGAATTTAAAAACGAGAAAAACGCATTTAAAGTTTTTTGAAGTTCTAACAACCATAACTTTGTTGTTTTTTAAGCTAGAGGGTCATTTTTTTTTCGTGCAGCTCAATCCCTAACCTAGCGAACAGTGAAAACCGAAAGTTGGTAATGTGAATAGTTATTATTTTATCACGAGTTGAATGAGAATAACTATCCGTCATGTACAGTTGTTTGATCTTCAAACCAATAATAATTGCGTTTTTCTGGAAAAAATTCTTATTATTGTGGGCTAATACTGTAAAACAAGTTAATGATCACCAAAAACAACACTCGTCTTACACCAATCCATCACCCCCCCCAAATAATAATAATAAAAAACTCATCTGCCGCCTATCAGTATTTATCTTTCCGTCCCTATTATTAGCCAAAGATTTATAATATTGTTTAGTATAATACTGCAGTGTGTAATAATAAGGTCACCATTAACCTCTCCTCCCCAACGTAATTAACATACGAATATAAAGGTGAAGAAAGTTTTCATAATCTTTGGTAAAAAAGTATTATGATAATAGTATTACAATCTTACTTTGTTTAGTTCCTTCGTTTTATTATCCCTGACTATTGTATTAAGTTGAAGTTCCATAAATCCTGAGGAGCGCGTATAACTTTAATGGCCTCGTCATGATCAATCACGTACTGTTCAAAGTCTTTCTCTGCCCTCTCAAAAAATCGCTCCTCTCACTCTGAATGGTATGTGACCACCTTTACTTACTGAGCACACAGCCAGACACGTAGCTCCCGGCCTCAGGCAAAATGACACCCTATTTTTGAAGGACTTTCAACCATATTTCTAGTCTACCTAGGGGTTTACATCCAATGCCAACATGTAGAGGAAGGGTGAAAATAGTGATATCCACCAAAAAGTGCATTTTGCCCAGGGTGGTGCTTTATCCCCTTGTAATACTGAGCACCTCAAATGTTGTGCAGTAATGCAAATTTTTAGATCATGTGAAGATTAGGCACCCCATTTTATTTCACATGATTAAATGACCTTATGCTACCTATGGGGGGGGTTAGGATAGGTTAAGTTAGGTCGTGTTAGGGGAGTTTATTTTAGTTTATATCTAGGTACAGTATTAGCTTAAATCAAATTGTTTTAGGTTGGACTAGGGTTAGTTAGATTTGGTTTGGATAGGTTAGCAGTTGGGTGTTTAATCATCAGGTGAAATAAGCTCAGGTGCCTAGACTCCACGTGACACAAGCTCTCTCTCTCTCTCTCTCTCCCCAGCACCACACCAGGGATGAAAAACACTCCCACAAATCGTCCTTTAAAGAAAAATAAATAAATAAATACAAAATCTGTTCAACCTCTAATAATAAACTGCCACAGCACTTTACACCTGTGACAAATATCTATGAAATATATAACAGCAATGACTAATACAGATGGTTATGAACAGACAGACACATGGACTGTTTGAGTGATGAATGGGGTCAACCTGATCCTTCCAGCTTTATTGGTAATACTATACTGTACTTGTTCTCCTGGGTGTTGTGAGTGTGGGACAAAACCTTGCTAGGAAAAAACCCCACTGAACAAAACCTCACTAGGATAAAACCCCACTAAGACAACATCCCATTAGGACAAAAACCCCACATCCTGGACAAAATCTCATTAGGAATAAAAAAAAAATCTCCAGACAAAACCAGTCTATGAATCTACTGACCCTGAGAAACATTCATATAGAAAATGAGGGCTTTTGTCCGACTTTGCACTTTAAATGGGAGGTTTTTGTCCAGGAAGGTTTTGTCCAGGAAGGTTTTATGCCCAGGTGGGTTTTGTCTAGGAAGGTTACATGTCCAGGTGGGTTTTGTCTAGGGAGGTTACATGTCCAGGTGGGTTCTGTCTAGGAAGGTTACATGTCCAGGTGGGTTTTGTCTAGGAAGGTTACATGTCCAGGTGGGTTCTGTCTAGGAAGGTTACATGTCCAGGTGGGTTCTGCCTAGGAAGGTTACATGTCCAGGTGGGTTCTGTCTAGGAAGGCTACATGTCCAGGTGGGTTCTGTCTAGGAAGGTTACATGTCCAGGTGGGTTTTGTCTAGGAAGGTTACATGTCCAGGTGGGTCCTGTCTAGAAAGCTTACATGTCCAGGTGGGTTTGTCTAGGAAGGTTACATGTCCAGGTGGGGTTTCCTAGGGTGGGGTTTTTGTCTAGGAAGGTTACATGTCCAGGTGGGTTTTATCTAGGAAGGTTACATGTCCAGGTGGGTTCTGTGGGTTACATGTCCAGGTGGGTTCTGTCTAGGAAGGTTACATGTCCAGGTGGGTTCTGTCTAGGAAGTTACATGTCCAGGTGGGTTTGTCTAGGGAAGGTTACATGTAGGAGGTACATGTCCAGGTGGGTTCATGTCTAGGAAGGTTACATGTCCAGGTGGGTTTCTGTCTAGGAAGGTTACATGTCCAGGTGGGTTCTGTCTAGGAAGGTTACATGTCCAGGTGGGTTTGTCTAGGAAGGTTACATGTCCAGGTGGGTTCTGTCTAGGAAGGTTACATGTCCAGGTGGGTATTGTCTAGGAAGGTTACATGTCCAGGTGGGTTCTGTCTAGGAAGGTTACATGTCCAGGTGGGTTTTGTCCAGGAAGGTTACATGTCCAGGTGGGTTCTGTCCAGGTGGGTTCTGTCCAGGAAGGTTACATGTCCAGGTGGGTTCTGTCCAGGTGTTTTTATCTGGCACTTGGGTGATGTAAACAACAGTGGACACTATATGACTTACAGTACAGTAATTGGTTCTTGTTTTGCCCACTGACAACAATACTTTATATCATCTAAGAATAACATTTATATAATTACCTAAAAATACTGAGAGATTACTGATGAACACTGATAAATGATACAGTGCTAATGTTAACCAAGACCATAAATACTCCCGTCCTGCTACACACTTCATTTTATTTACCATTTTGATGAGGAAGAACACTGGAGAGTTATCTAATCCCACTATAGTTCCTGATAAATTACTCCTACATTGTCCTGTGTTAGTATAGGAGGAAAAATGACTGGAGTACATGGAGAGAAAAAACCCTGCCATGTTTAAGCATCTAACTGAATATCAACCGTGTTCCATTCTCACATCTGACCCAAGGATTGAACAGAGGGAGGCAACTTGGCTATCGCTGTACCCCCAAAAGATTTATTCAAAGTACGGTTTTTTCAGATCAACCTTTGTCTATCTTATGAACCAACAAACAATAACAGGTTAGGTTAGGTTTGGTTAAGTTAAGTTAAATCAACTATGTGGGAATCTATTTGGGAATCGCCTAAATTTAATCATATGTACAGACAGACAGACAGACACAAGTGAATGCCCCCCTCACATAGAGAGTAAAGGCATCAACACAATATCACCAGCAGTAATAGACAATGAAGAGCCTGACTGTGCTGGCTTGTAGGATGGGCAGAGCAGAGGAGAGTGGAGAAAAGCAGAGCAGTGCAGTGCAAACAGGAGAGGAGAGGAGACTAATAGAATCTGACCTTAACTTAATACCAGCAGTGGGTGGCATTGAAAGACATCTGCCTGCCTACCTACCTACCTCCAACACACTGGCAGGTATACAGGTCTTGCCTTTAATTACTGTGTTTAAATACAGTATACATAATTCTAGTGAACTTATTTTGCTATATTGACCTTTAATATACAGTATAGTATTTCAAGCATTCCGTATATCAAACAGTTATTACCTAACTATCATTCCTTTCAAAACAACAATGGATTTCTTTCTCAAATTTAAACTTAACATTATTAGTATTAAGGATTACTGTCAATATTTCATTCACTAAAACTAATGAAAATTTTGAATAAACTTTAATATCAGTCATTAACTAAGGTTAGATTAGGTTAGGTTAGATTAGGTTAGGTTACTGTATTACATTTAAAACTCCTTTTGTAAGCTTCTGAAGAATTGATAGTTTCTGGTCCACTTATTTACTACACAAAAACAAAAACTAAATGGAAATACTGTATACGTTTGACCATGCCTGCTTCCGTGTGTGTTCTCTTAACTTCACATGGGTTAGGTAAGGTTAGCATTAAGGTGGTTAATTAGGCGAAATAAACTGTAATGGCGATTCTTTAAGTTAAGGAAGAGAAACAAAAATCCACACAATCATCTAGTAAAGTGAGGTATTGTATTAGTTCCTACCTTCTCTCATCCCGGCTCTGAACGCTGGTCCAGAATATTCGACGAAGTCCACATAGGTGATGACCTCTATCTCGCCATCCTTCTTGTAGTGGATCCCGTAACTCTGTGGGGGAGGAGCAGCATTAGTGGTGTGGTAGGGTAGGGTAGGTTAGGGTAGGGTAGGGTGCGTTAGGTTTGGGTCTTTAACTGTGGAAGTACTTATGTTGGTGTGTGTGTAGTGACTGTTGGGCTGGGATGGTGACTGTTGGGCTGGGATGGTGACTGTTGGGCTGGGATGGTGACTGTTGGGCTGGGGTGGTGACTGTTGGGCTGGGGTGATGACTGTTGGGCTGGGGTGATGACTGTTGGGCTGGGATGGTGACTGTTGGCTGGGGTGGACTGTTGGGCTGGGATGGTGACTGTTGGGTTGGGGTGATGATCGTGGGGTGATGACTGTTGGGCGGGGCTGGGGTGGTGACTGTTGGGCTGGGGTGACTGTTGGGCTGGGGGTGATGACTGTTGGTGTGTGGTGACTGTTGGGCTGGGGTGGTGACTGTTGGGCTGGGGTGGTGACTGTTGGGCTGGGGTGGTGACTGTTGGGTGGGGTGATGACTGTTGGGCTGGGGTACTTTGGGGGTGGTGACTGTTGGGTTGGGTGGTGACTGTTGGGCTGGGGTGACTGGGCTGGGATGGTGACTGTTGGGTTGGGGTGATGACTTGTTTGGGGTGATGACTGTTGGGCTGGGGTGGTGACTGTTGGGCTGGGGTGGTGACTGTTGGGCTGGGGTGGTGACTGTTGGGCTGGGTGATGACTGTTGGGCTGGGGTGATGACTGTTGGGCTGGGATGGTGACTGTTGGGCTGGGGTGATGACTGTTGGGCTGGGGTGGTGACTGTTGGGCTGGGGTGATGACTGTTGGGCTGGGGTGATGACTGTTGGGCTGGGGTGATGACTGTTGGGCTGGGGGTGGTGACTGTTGGGCTGGGGTGGTGACTGTTGGGCTGGGGTGATGACTGTTGGGCTGGGGTGATGACTGTTGGGCTGGGATGGTGACTGTTGGGCTGGATGGTGACTGTTGGGCTGGGGGTGGTGACTGTTGGACTAGGTGTGGTGACTGCTGGGCTGGGATGATGACTGTTGGGCTGGGGTGGTGACTGTTGGTAGGGGGTGGTGACTGTTGGGCTGGGGTGATGACTGTTGGCTGGGGTGGTGACTGTTGGCAGGGTGGTGACTGTTGGGTTGGGGTGATGACTGTTGGCTGGGATATCTGGCTGGGGTGGTGACTGTTAGGGTGGTGACTGTTGGGCTGGGGTGGTGACTGTTGGGCTAGGGGTGTGATCTAGGACTGTTGGGCTGGGATGATGACTGTTGGTCTGGGGTGATGACTGTTGGTCTGGGGTGGTGACTGTTGGGCTGGGGTGATGACTGTTGGGCTGGGGTGATGACTGTTGGGCTGGTGATGACTGTTGGGCTGGGGTGATGACTGTTGGGCTGGGGTGATGACTGTTGGGCTGGGGAGATGACTGTTGGGCTGGGGTGATGACTGTTGGGCTGGGGTGTGGACTGTTGGGTTGGGGTGATGACTGTTGGGCTGAGATGATCAAGATACTGCACCAGTTTATTTATTCATTTCATTTTTTTCTGAACGAAACTAATACAATATTTGACCTTTAAACCGTATACGATTCCTGGAGAGAGAGAGAGAGAGAGAGAGAGAGAGAGAGAGAGAGACTGTGGGACCCACCCTCTCTCCCTCTGTGGTGTATTGGCACACAGCACCTTTATGACCGTGTGTGTGTGTGTGTGTGTGTGTGTGTGTGTGTGTGTGTGTGTGTGTGTGTGTCCTCCCTCCCTCTCTTGAAGTTACTGGTAGCGGTGGGGGATGTGGTTCTTGGAGTCATGCCCACTCAGTTCGCTTCCTCCCGTGTCTTCTGCTCGTCGTTTTCATTTCCTTGACTAAATAAAACACACACACACACACACACACACACACACACACACACACACTATATGATGGAGTGGTAGCGTCTTTAGTGGCTGCCATCTTGAGGAGCAGTGATGACTCAAGTGGGCAGGTGACTGGCATATTGGAGGAGGAGGTAGATAGATAGATAGATAGATAGATAGATAGATAGATAGATAGATAGATAGATAGATAGATAGATAGATAGATAGATAGATAGATAGATAGATAGATAGATAGATAGATAGATAGATAGATAGATAGATAGATAGATAGATAGATAGATGTATGTATGTATGTATGTATGTATGTATGTATGTATGTATGTATGGTGTCTGTCTCAGTATACGTTCATCTATCTACCTACTCATATCAACATAAGAGTGTCATCGTACTCAAAGGGTTAAGTCATTGTACTCAAGGTATTAAGGTATCGTACTCAAAGAGATCAAGAGAGACCCGTATGATATAATGTAGGAGGAAGAAGATTGGGTGGGGAGGAGGAGGTGAGAGACTTTAAGGGTAGAGGGGAAGGGGTAGGGTAATTAAGACAAGCTCGCTAAAGATTATTACACACGTCTCAACCCCTCCCCGCCTCCTTCCCCACCTCCCGGCAGTCATCACCTCCCCCGACACTACTGCACCAGCCTGTTCTCTCTTCACTACGAGGGGTGTCTCTTGTACGTGGGTATATGTACGTGGTGTGTGTGTACGTGGTGTGTGATTGTACTTGGTGGTGTGTGTGTGTGTATACGTGATGGTGTGTGTACGTAAGAGTGTGTACAGTAGGTGGGATGAATGTATGTAGGTGTGTGTGTACGTGGGCCTGGGTGCCTGTACGTGGGGTGTTTCTTGTACATAGAGGTGTCTGTACTGTACGTGGGATGTCTGCACTGTACGTAAGGTGTCTGTACGTGGGTATGTCTGCACGTGGGTATGTCTGTACGTAAGGGTGTCTGTACGTAAGGCGTCCGTGTAATCCAGGTACTGATCCACCACAACTGACACCTAATGATCTCACCGGGACACACCTGGTGACATCTTTGTAACTAATTAAGGACTCTCAGGTAAGCCTATCCGCTAGTCACCTGTGAATCGGATATGGGTAATTAACAATCCATCAATCCACCAGTCCCCAATCCACCAATCCAGGAACTCTTGTAACGTATTTACAATTGTTTTCACGGTGCTATAATGAAGTAATAACCCGTGACGTCAACAGATAGTCAGACGGTAGTGTTTATATAAATGTGGGTTATTGGCAAGTGTGAAGGTGTATATTAGCAATTACCTCATGGCAAAATAATTATATAAATTTGGGTTAATACATTTAGTTTATATAATACAATCACACCACGGTAATTTTCCATAAGCTGTGAGTTGTCATGTGCTGTTCACGTGAGGGGAAATTCCTCTATCAGAAGGTCGACCTTGAGATTGTAGGGTTAGCCACCTCCCTTCACTTGAGTCTCACGAGAATCGGACGGGTGACTTAACTCCGTCAAGCTGAGCCCCGTCCTTACCTAACACTCACAGCTTACTGTGTTAAATACGGTGCTCTTACTCATAGCCTGTGACCTTTTGAGTTTATCAAGAAATGGACAAAAGACCGTTTGGGTTTGTGACTTAACCTCAACTTATTTATATACAAGCCAAGTTAAAAGGGAACTCTACTCAAAGCTTACATAGGTGTGTCTGTATGTGGGTGTGTCTGTATGTGGGTGTGTCTGTATGTGGGTGTGTCTGTATGTGGGTGTGTCTGTATGTGGGTGTGTCTGTGTGTGTCTGTATGTGGGGTGTGTCTGTATGTGTGTCTGTATGTGGGTGTCTGTATGTGGATGTGTCTGTATGTGGGTGTGTCTGTATGTGGTGTGTCTGTATGTGGGTGTGTCTGTATGTGGGTGTGTCTGTATGTGTGGGTGTGTCTGTATGTGGGTGTGTCTGTATGTGGGGTGTGTCTGTATGGGTGTGTCTGTATGTGGGTCTGTATGTGGTGTGTCTGTATGTGGGTGTGTCATGTATGTGGGTTGTGTATGTACGTGGGGGTGTCTGTATGTGGGTGTGTCTACGTGGGTGTGTCTGTACGTGGGGGTGTCTGTATGTGGGTGTCGTGGGTCTCTGTTGTACGTGGGGGTGTCTGTATGTGGTGTGTGTTTGTACGTGGGGTGTCTGTATGTGGGTGTGTCATGTACGTCGGTGTATGTACGTGGTGGTGTCTGTATGTGGGTGGGTCGTACGTGGGTCTCGTGTATGTACGTGGTGGTGTCTGTATGTGGGTGTGTCATGTACGTGGGTCTCGTGTATGTACGTGGGGGTGTCTGTATGTGGGTGTGTAAACCTATGAATACCTATGCATAAATAAGCTGCCAAAGAACGTTTAATAAAGTTTTCCTAAGCGACAACAAGGTGAAGACATCATGGACACGGTTTTACATATTTTCACAAGCGTCAGAAGGAGGATAGGCGAGGCATTAACATTTTCCCGAGCATCACAATAATAATGACGACAAAGTTATTTTTTTTTTGTATTTTGGGCCAGCGTTAATAGTAGAACAACTTACGAAAGCAACACAAGAAAAGTAAACACAGTCCTTTAGTCTCTCTCTCTCTTTTCTTTTTTACAAGGACACAAGTACAGTGTCAGGACACCTTTGTGGGTTATTTCATGAAAGAGTTGTCGAGGAAGGCAACAGGTGTTAGGAGCTAAAAGAGAGACACACACACACACACACACACACACACACACACACACACACACGTATAGATATACTGGTACCCTGTTGTTGTGTTATAGAGACAAAGAGGTATGCACTAAGGGAAGAAACCGCGGTATCTGAGTGCTTGATTGGCTGACCAGTATGAGAGGAGTTATAATGAAATGAGAGATTGGTGGGCAAAAATAACAAATAAAACAAATAATAAATAATAAAATATACTTATGGGGAAAAGTCGTTTCTTTTCACCACTAATTATATGCTTTACTTCACGCCATATGTTTGTTTTGACCTAAACACCCACAAATATGCCCAGCGCCATTAACCCCTTGTGTGGTCTTTATGTCAGTGACGCTCAGTAGTGGAAGGGTTAAGGGCCCACAACCAATCCCACTACCCCTCTCACACTGCCAGGCGCCACTCTCACCCATCAGGCGTCCTCTCACACTGCCAGGCGTCCTCTCACTTGCCAGGCGCCCTCTCACACCGCCAGGCGCCCCTCTCACTTGCCAGGCGCCCCCTCTCACACTGCCAGGCCCTCTCACACTGCCAGGCGCCCTCTCACACCGCCAGGCGCCCTCTCACACTGCCAGGCGCCACTCACCCATCAGGCGCCTCACACTGCCAGGCGCCCTCTCACACTGCCAGGCGCCACTCACACACTGCCAGGCGCCACTCACCTGCCAGGCGCCACTCTCACCCATCAGGCGCCCCTCTCACACTGCCAGGCGTCCCTTCCCACACTGCCAGGCGCCCTCCCTCACACTGCCAGGCGCCCTCTCACCTGCCAGGCGCCCTCTCACACTGCCAGGCGCCCTCTCACACCGCCAGGCGCCCCTCTCACACTGCCAGGCGCCCCTCTACCTGTATCGTAAAGCCAAATGAGTTATTCTCCTTCTCGACGATGATGGTGCGTCTTCGTCTGTCCTCCTCCGGCCGGGTGACGCACACACGGTCACCCACCATCCTCTCCAGGATCTGTGTCTGTCGGGGGAAGAACACCAAGGTTAGGTTTAGGTTTAGGTTTAGGAAGGTTAAGTTAGGTTTAGTAAGGTTAGGTTTAGTAAGATCAGGTTAGGTTTAGTAAGGTCAGGTTGTTTAGGAAGTTTTAGGTTTAGTAAGTCAGGTTAGGTTTAGTAAGTTTAGGTTAGGTTTAGTAAGGTCAGGTTAGTTAGGTAAAGGTCAGGTTAGGTTTAGGAATGTTGTTAGGTTTAGTAAGGTTAGGTTAGGTTAGTTTAGGTTAGGTTTAGTAAGATCAGGTAGGGTTTAGTAAGGTCAGGTTAGGTTTAGAAAGTTGGTAGGTTTAGTGTAAGGTTAGGTTGTTTAGTAGTTTAGGTTAGGTTAGTAAGGCGTTAGGTTTGGCTGTTGTAGGTTTAGTAAGGTTAGGTTAGGTTTAGTAAGTTTAGGTTAGGTTTAGTAAGGTCAGGTTAGGTTTAGTAAGGTCAGGTTAGGTTTAGTAAGGTGGGTTAGGTTTAGTAAGGGTCAGGTTAGGTTTAGTAAGTTTAGGTTAGGTTTAGTAAGTTTAGGTTAGGTTTAGTAAGGCCAAGTCATTACACAGGTGAAATAGTTATAATCGGATAATCTTCAGATAATCCCACAAAAATCGATAAACCACAAAAAAAGAGTCCAGGGAAGATTTACCCCTGACAACATAAACAAACGACTCCACCAGCACTATTGGGAAGGTCTTGAAGCACTTGAGATGTCTTCTGAGGAGAGTAAACACGAGAGACGAATGACCAACAACACTGACAGTATCTTGAAATTTTTCCTTCCATGACATAGTGGAGTGTGAGGTATGGTGGCAGATGTCATGTGTGAGGTATGGTGGCAGGTGTCATGTGTGAGGTATGGTGGCAGGTGTCATGTGTGAGGTATGGTGGCAGGTGTCATGTGTGAGGTATGGTGGCAGGTGTCATGACATATCCAATGATGATGAGCAGAGGTGTCATATAGGTGTCATACGGGTAGATAATGTAAGAGGTGTGTTTATACTTGAGTTACAGCTTAAAGAATTCAAAGTTAGAAGACAAAATCATACTGAGATACGTTCAGTTAACATAGACTATTTCTAAAGATTCTGTATGTTAATTTTGTCTCCTAACTGGTGCTAAGTGAGCGTATCTAGTTAAGGTAGAGTCTGAGTATAATTTTGTCTCCTAACTGGTGCTAAGTGAACGTATCTAGTTAAGGTAGAGTCTGAGTATAATTTTGTTCCCTAACTGGTGCTAAGTGAACGTATCTAGTTAAGGTAGAGTCTCAGTATAATTTTGTCTCCTAACTGGTGCTAAGTGAACGTATCTAGTTAAGGTAGAGTCTCAGTATAATTTTGTCTCCTAACTGGTGCTAAGTGAACGTATCTAGTTAAAGGTAGAGTCTGAGTATAATTGGGCTGTTGTGATTGTTAAGTCAAGCCTACGATACATTCTTACATCTTCAGTTAACCAGGAAATATTCATCTCACGAGCCTTTGTGATGCAGGGTGAGGGTTCATTTGGCTGTCACTCAAGGTGTGTGCGTGTGTGTTAACGACCCACCAACCATCTTACACCAGTACCGGGAGGCTTACCTGAGGCGGGTTCATTTTCTACCTCACACCTACACACAGAGGGAGAGAGCATATATGTGTTGTATTGGTGGTATAATAACACAACAACAGACACTATAATCCTCGTGGTGGTATTGGCTTATAATCTGTTGTGGCTGATACCCCTGAGTCCTGCCTACGTGCCATTCCTGCCTAGGGTTGGGTTGTTAGGACGTAATATAACCTTACCTAACCTAACCAAGCCCCAAACGCCCGTCCACTCATCCAACAAAACACCTGCCCTCTAATTGAACTATACTGCACACCGTTCGACTAAACCTAACCCATAATAGATCGAGTCATTAAAAAACAAACATGACGCAAGAGAGATAAACATTATTATTTGTGCGTAAAAACTAAATCCAATTTTTTACCGCCAATTATTTTTTTAGTTCGCCAGTCTCGTCTCTCACGGGTCAGAGGAACGTTCAATAGATTACTCTCGGGGCTAAACTCCCGGGGCGCTGGTCACTTTTTTTATTCTTTTTATACTATTTTTTTATCTCATATCTGTAAATATCCACTGTCGATAGGAGAAAAAAAATATATACTTAAATGTACTGAGAGTGTCTGTACAGTATATCGACCATAGTTTCACATCATATCACTTAGTACCTTTAAATATGATAAAATTAACTTATTAAACCAATCTAAGTTTACCTAATACCGTGTTTTAATATATTTCAGTTAAATTAAATAAAGTTAGATAGATTAGATAGAGTTTGATTGGTTTATTTTGCCTATTTTAAAAGACGTACTTGATACCTCGGCCACCATGACAGATCCGTGAATACAAAACAATATTGTATTGTTTGGAAACATATATTATCAATTTACCTTTACCAGACACCAGATAAATGTAAATTCCGATGAAATAATTAAATACTATTCTAGAAGTTCGTCATGGTAGTAGTAGCAGTAGTTTACAGGAGACTATTACCATAAATGGGCCTCTTTACTGTCGGTATTTCAGCAATGGATATCTGTTGTGTAAGTATATGACGACAGGGAACTAGTCTCTTGCTTACCCGCTCCAAGCTCTGAGAGAGAGAGAGGGGGGATAAAGGGATACAACCTCCATGTGAGTGACGGTGACCGAAAAATCCCTCACACGCGAAAAATACCTCCAGACAAGTCAGAAAAGGCTGAAAATACGCATCCATATAAAACAAAACATTCTCCATCACCAGGCCTGAGAACTGAGTGTGCCGAATTTAAGTATAATGAATGAATGTGTTTTGCTATCAGGCCACCCCCACCCCTCCCTACATCAGGGCCACCACTCCCCCACCCAGGGCCACCCCACCCTCCCACATCTGGCCACCCACCTACCCAGGGCACCCACCCCTCCCTCTAGCCACCCCACCCCTCCCTCCAGGGCCACCCCACACTCCCTCCCTACATCCAGGGCCACCCAACACCTCACACACCCCGCAGCTCCAGGGCCATCCCACAACCCCTCCCCACCTCCATGGCCACCCCACAACCCCTCCCCACCTCCAGGGCCACCCCACAACCCCTCCCTCACCTCCAGGGCCACCCCACACCTCCTCCCTCACCTCCAGGGCCACCCCACACCTCCTCCCTCACCTCCAGGGCCACCCCACAACCCTCCCTCACCTCCAGGCCACCCCACAACCCTCCCTCACCTCCAGGGCCACCCCACCCCCCCACCTCCAGGCCACCCCACAACCCCACTCACCTCCAGGGCCATCCCACCCTCCTCTCCTCCCTCAGGGCCACCCCACACCCTCCCCTCACCTCCAGGGCCACCCCACAACCCTCCCCACCTCCAGGCACCCACACCTCCCTCACCTCCAGGGCCACCCCACACCCTCCCTCACCTCCAGGCCACCCCACAACCCCTCCCCACCTCCAGGGCCACCCCACACCTCCCTCACCTCCAGGGCCACCCCACAACCCTCCACTCACCTCCAGGCCATCCCCACCTCCTCTCCTCACCTAGGGCCACCCCAACCCTCCCTCACCTCCGGCCACCCCCACCCTCCCTCACCTCAGGGCCCCCACCCCCTCACCTCCAGGCCACCCCACAACCCTCCCCTCACCTCCAGGGCCACCCCAACCCTCCCTCACCTCCAGGGCCACCCCACACCTCCCTCACCTCCAGGGCCACCCCACCTCCTCTCCTCTCCTCCAGGCCACCCCACCTCCTCCCTCACCTCCAGGGCCACCCCACACCTCCCCCTCACCTCCAGGGCCACCCCACACCTCCTCTCCTCACCTCCAGGGCCACCCCACAACCCTCCCCACCTCCAGGGCCACCCCACAACCCCTCCCCTCACCTCCAGGGCCACCCCACACCTACTCTCCCTCCCTCCAGGGCCACCCCACACCTCCTCTCCTCACCTCCAGGCCCCCCCACACCTCCTCCCCCACCTCCAGGCCACCCCACACCTCCTCCCTCACCTCCAGGGGCCACCCCACACCCCTTTCACCACCTACTAGCCAAGCTACCCTCATTGTTCACACAACACACACACACACACACACACACACACACAAACCTTTAACGCCATATGGTTTCAACTGTTGGTGGAGTTTATGAGTAGTAAGGATTATCTTATTAACGAATGATTGAGTTAATGTTGGGTAAGGTTTCCCGAGCCCTGACAGCATATTGTTATTGACTTCTCTTTTATGTACTGTAAGTCCATAAGGGGAAACGTGTAGTATAAAATATATGATATAAAGAAATTGTTGATATACGGAAAGAAAGACAAGAAAAGAAAAGAAAAGATATGACACGTACACCCTCACTACCGTACCTGACCCGACACACGTGACCTGAGAGCAAAAAGGGTTGACCCCTGAGCCCTTTGGGGATTGACCTGCTACCTGGGACTACCTAGAGCTATTTGAGGCTACCGGGAGCTATCTGAGACTACCTGGAGTTACCTAAAGATACCGGGAACTTCCTGAAGCTACCTGAGGCTACCTGGAGCTACTTGAGAATACCTGGAATTAATTAAGGGTACCTGGAACTACTCGTGGCTATATACCTGGCAAATCATTAATATAGTTAAGGTCAAATGTTTAGGAGTTTTAATTACGGTTATTTTACTTTAGTTGATATATTATTCAGCTATACGAACCTTGATGTATATACTGTATAAAGTTTTCCATATACAGTATACATATGAATATACTGTATACTGTTATACATATGCATTCTAAATACCGAAAACAGAAAAACTGACTTATAACACCGAAAACATAAAAAACCCGACTTTAAACACCGAAAACAGATAAAACCCCGACTTCAAACACCGAAAACATAAAACCCGGACTTTAAACACCGAAAACAAAACCCGATAAACACCGGAAAAAAAAACCCGACTTTAAACACCGAAAACATAAAACCCGAAAACTCAATTCT